TTTATTCACCTTTTAATAAACTGCAAAAAGAAAGAGAAAGAAAGCAAGACAGATTCAGCCTCCTCATTAACTTGTACTTCAATTTGTATATTAGGTCTTTTTTTTTTTTTTACTTCTTTTATTATTTTTGGTTTTTTCTTTTTCTTTTTTTGGCAACCACTTGCAGAATCATGTCTATTAGGTCTTATACTTGTTTGACAAACTGAGTCTCTCAATAATAGAATTTCTGCATTTTAGAAAAATATTTGAATTATCAGTTTGGCTATAATTTTATAGTAACCTGCAATCTTGCTTCATAACAACAAAATGTCTTATGATGATTCATGACTTCCTGCTCTTTAAGTTTTCACTAAAATTTAAAGTTACTAAAAATAACAATTCTAGTCAATGCATGTAATTCTATATATAAGGTATACAAAGACTAAGATGTTTTTAGTAAGAAAAATTATAAAAGAAACAGAATGTGTTCTTATTAAAATATATATATTTCTTTGTCTAATTCATGGGTTATTTAAAGATTGAATCAAAATTCATTTAGAAAACAAAATTCCACTTGTAAGAAAAAGATGTAAAAAGGCAATGCATATAGAAATATGTTTTTGGTAAGAAAGGTTAAACAGAAAGAATAATGTAAAGAAATGATCTTGCATGGAAGTTTTTGTTCTAAAATGATTGGTTATTTAAGAAAAGAGAATGTTAGGACAAAACAGAAAGTTTTAAGGTATGTTTTGTAGATAATGTATGGTACATGCTGGTTGGGATAAAGTTTATGAAAGGGAATTTATTAAGGAATTTTGTATATGGTCCAGTTGGCTATAATTTAAAACAAATTTTTTTTTTTTGCTAAAACAAAGATTTCTGTAGATACTAATTTACTCTTAATGAAATGACATGATGTACTCATTTTGATTCTATAACATTCTATAACATGTTTCCTTTTTTAAAAAAAAATCACTACAGAAGGTTTTTCTTTAATTTTGGTAACTGACCTAAAAGAAGCAAAGATTTTATACTTTATCAGATAATCCTAGTACTCTCTTTATTAGGTTTTGACTAACTAAAAAGAAAAACTAAACTTTAAAAGAGTTAAGGTTTACACCCATGTAACTTTATCACCTTTAGAATCTTTTGATGACTATCTTTCTTGTTTAGATAAATGACCCTTATTTTATAGTGGTTTGTGATTGTATTTGAACAAAAGTTTTAAGACTTTGATATGTGACAAACTTTCCAAAACTTAAATTCTAAATCCAGCCTTTGACCTTAAACTAGCTTTTTCTACATCAGGATCACTAAAGTCTAAGACAGACATTAGGTTTATTTGGTGTGTCAAAACCATCCAGGGAACATTGTCAAATATGAAATGGCATTTAACTTTCTTTGGAGTATACTTGTATATTATTAAAATATGTTCTAGGATTGTAAAATATTGAAATGTTTTGGTGTATATTATCAGTAATAATTATGGTTATTATATAAATTACTGTATGTCACAACATAATTTGGTTTGTCAATTTTCTCTAACCATGGCTAGTCCAAGTTTTATCATCTTTAAAAGAAATTCTTTTACTTTGCTTCATCTCAGAAAGTGGTTCTTTCTGGCTAAGTCCGAAGTTGGTTTCTTCAAGTAAAGTCATGGAAAGGACTGATAAATCGTCATGGAAAGGACTGATAAATCCACTTGAAGACTGGTTTCTGATAGCTTTGGAGATTATATACCATTGGACTAAAACAAAACAACCTTCCAGGACTTTAATTAGAAAACTGATACGACCATGAGTATAGCTAACTCAACCTCGTGAGACCAAACTAAATTTTTATAAAAAGACTCTTTATATAAAACATTTCTAATTCTTTTGTTTTCCAGAGTCCTGAAAAATTTTTTGTAAATAGCAAGTTTATCTGATCTCTGGGACCTTAGAACCATGAAATCTGCCAAAGCCCTGTTCAAATATCCTCTCTCTAGGCCCAGGGACTATCGTGGAAGAGTGGGTGTGTCAGATTGTAAGGGCCAATTCTGAGGGATGGAATTAGTTTAGACCCTCCAGATCAAAGAGGGGAACACAGAAGCCTAAAGGAATACTAACTAAAATAACTTTGTCTTTTGAGGCCACATGCTGCAGATATCCATCCCAATCATAAAAGTTTTTTTTCCTGCTTTCTATAGACTTAGAATTTCCTGTGTATAATTTTTATCAGTTATGGATTTATACAAAAGGAAATATAATGAGTAATTTATCAGCCACCTTACTATAAATTACTAGAGACTAAAGTCTCTAAAATTCCCTTCTCTTAAATGTTAATGGTGCTTATATTTGCTACAAGTCTACCACTAAACCCAAGAATATAGTACGTCAATACTTATAGGTAAATTAGTTTTGTAGCTTTGCCTTTGACATTTTGGATTTTATTCTTATGTCTCACCTAGAAGGTTTTAAAGTGTTGATGAGTGCCTGTCTGTCTCCAGTCCTGTTTGGCTTAAAATATTTAATTAGCTGTAACCCGCCTTTTGGCTCCTCAGTCCTCTTGGCCACAAGGGTCCCACCGAGGGACTGGATGGACCCGGGGCAGGTAGCCACACCACCCTGGCAACGGATGGGACAAAATGAAAGTTTGGCCATAGATGCTGCTTCTGCCATATTTTGGCCGAAAGGGGGAAATTGTGAACTAAAATAAAATTTTAAGGTTCACCCCCCCCACGCACACAGGCTGACTGAATGAATGGACCCCCTCGTGGCCAAAGGAATATCCTAAAGTTAAATTGCCTGCCAGGAGGAAGGAGATCAGACAGGCCTCATCATGCCCCCCTCCCTTCTTGGGGACTTCCTTTGTAACCCATTAGCAGGCCTAAGGGTATATTCAAGACAAACCTACAGGTCCTCAATTTACACAACAAATCCATGTCCATTTGTCAGGTGGCTTTTCTGATAAACAGCTCCTTATTTTGAAACATTCCAAGCCTCTAGATAAAGCCTCATGTCTTTTACCAATTACAAGTCAAAGAATTTTTAAACCCACCTATAGCCTGTAAGCCCCCCTTCGAGATGCCCCCCCTTTTCTTGCCAAGCCAATGTATGTCTGACTTTAATGACTACCTGTAACCCCTGTTTCCCTGAACTGTATGAAACCAAACTGTAACCCAGCCACAGCGAGTCCACTTGCTCAAGGCTTCTTGGGGGTGGCTCTGGGTTATGGTCCTCAAGTTTGGCTCAGAATAAATGTCTTTAAAATTACAGAGTTTGGCTTTTTTTTTTCTGTTGACATGAATAAGTCTACTGGGACTTAGAGACCCCATTTCTCTAGGCAGGAGCTGGAGATAAGGGCAGAAGTTTACTGCCTAGATGGGGGACATTCCAAGTGATCTGGGAGTACAGCAAAGCAGACTCCCACCTTAAAGGCTAAGGGGCCTCATGCTTAAAAAGCCATAGTGCAGCTTGACATGGAAGCCACCCACGGCTGCGAAGGAAGATTGCAAAATGTCAGCCCGGGAGAAGGGACATCAGACTCCAATACTTAATAACACCAGGCTGTTCCTTCCCTCCTTTTCTCAGTAGAACACCTCAGTTAATGGGAAGCTAACCTCCCAGGAAGAAGTACATAATCTCTTTGTTCCTCTATTGAATGGGCCACAGCTACTGAGTTCAGAGATACTATCTATACATACCTTAAGGCATAGTTGTGCTTAGTAATGAGTTATGTGTTCCTGCTTCTATAGATAAAAGAGTAATTAGCTAAGGCACCTTGTGACTTTTTGAGGAACCTTGAAACTGATATACATTGTAATCCATGACCTTTTCAGGTGAAATCATTGTAATCTATAACATTAAAAAGAATAAAAGTGGGTGCTAGACTTCAGTCAGTACCACCTTGGTACCTGAGTGCCCACACCCTTACACCTTGTTTCTCATGTCCATGTCTTTTGTCTCCCTCATCTCTTGCAGTGCACATTGCCTGGGGACCCACTTATGTAGGGGCATCTCGAACCCCTGATATTGCCCAGATCAACAGCTTAAGAGAAATAAATAAAAGTGAGGAACTCAGCCGGGCTCTTGGTCTGGAGAAGACTTGAGTCCCCTGCCCCAATTTTTCTCTTCTACTGTCTCATTTCTTATTCCTGCACTGTGCCCTGTTTTCAACTCTGTTGGCCAAGGAATTTCCAGCAATAGTCCTGCTTAACATAAAATGAAATACAATGTATAAAATAAGACCCCAGGCCCAGGATGGTGGCTCACGCCTGTAATCCTAGCACTCTGGGAGGCCAAGGTCAGGAGTTTGAAACCAGCCTGAACAAGAGCAAGACCCCATCTCTACTAAAAATATAAAGAAATTAATTGGCCAACTAAAAACAGCAAAAATTAGTGTGGCATGGTGGCGCACACCTGTAGTCCCAGCTACTCAGGAGGCTGAGGCAGAAGGATTGCTTGAGCCCAGGAGTTTGAGGGTGATGTGAGCTAGGTTGGCGCTAACGCACTCCAGCCCAGGCAACAGAGTAAGACTGTCTCAAAAAAAAAAAAGAGCCCAGAAATTCACAAAGTGCTACTTACTCTCCGTTGCTCTGAGAGATAGCGGCCGCTCTATGGGCAGCCTCCTTTTTTTCTTTTACATCAATAAACTAGCTTTTGCCTTACTCTGTGGGCTCTCTCTTTAATTCTTTCCCCCATAAAGCCAAGAGTCCACTTGGCCTTCAAGCTAGACCCCAGTTTTGGGATCCACTTTCATGTGTCAAGATTAACTCTTGCTAAATGCTGAATAGCGTTTTAATGTTCTACTAGATGTACATGCAAGAATACTAAGTGGTGGGAGTAACGTTTATTATCATAAACATTATTTTTCAGAAATCAATTACGTTTTTAAGAATGAGGACACAACAAATAACGCTTTAGGCTCAACATGCTGTAAACGTGGACGCTCATGTAGGTCATTTTGTCACAGTTGAATTGACCATCGATTATTTCTAAAAGCCATTTTACAATTACAAAAGTACAACTCAGACTAAATAAAATGCTTAAAATGTTTAATAAAATGCCGGGATCAGCATAAGGTGAGGGAGGCTCTATAGCGCAAATTTTGAGTTAAGACTAACCCTGAGAATGAGCTCCTCCTTAAAATTATTAATATTTGCGCCCCAGGCACCTCCCACGCGCCCTAAGCCCCACCCTGGTAAAATAAATGAAAGGAGTCCGAAGAACACGTGGGGCGTGGACAGTCTTTCCGAGTCTCAGATGCGCTTAAGCCAGTTACTCCATCCAATCCACCTGCGGTTGAAAAGTGCAGATTTGTTCAACAGGAATTGCCAAGTTAAACGTAGTCATTTAAAGCTCCTCTCTGGTGTGACAGGTGTTGCCTGTTGGGAGTCACCAAAAACAAAACAAACACTAGACATTGCCGGGGGATATCACGCCCTCGCTGGCTTATGCGGCATCTCATACAGTTCTAAGGGCCTTTCCCTATAACATAGACGCACACAGGGATTCCCTCAGAGGTCCAACGAGTGATGAAAACACATTAAGCGTCAGCCCAGGAAACCGTAGGAACCAGCTGCAAGCAATGATCACCGCCGCCGCCAGCCTAGAAAGGATGGTGCGCCCTCGCCGATTGCCTGTTTTGTGGGGCGCGAGCCCGGTCCTCAGGCGGTTGATGTCTGCGTTCCGCCGATCTACAGCCGAAGCGAAGACCCAGCCCTGCAAGGAAGAGGGAATGTTGTCTCCTGTGGGACTCGTAGAGCCACTGTACTAAGAAAGTCCGAGTCGCTGGCACGTCAAGCAGGCAGGCGAATCCGCGGACAGCCTGCGTGCTCGAGGACCCCGGTGGCGGGAAGGAGGAAGTTTCAAAGCCCAGTGTTTTGCTGCCGCTCGCTCCCCAAGATGAAGCTACACTGCGAGGTGGAAGTGGTCAGCCGGCTCTTGCCAGCCTTGGGGCTGAGGAACCGGGGCAAGGGCTCCCGAGCCGTGTTGAGCCTCTGTCAGCAGACGCCCACGAGTCACCCGCACCCCGCCTGCCTGCTCATCTCTACCCTGAAGGACAAGCGCGGGACCCGCTATGAGGTGCGTGGAGTGGGCAGGCCCTGTTAAGCGAGTCAGTCACGCGCTCTTTCCCGGAGCCGAGAGATGGAGCTCCCTCAGGCCTCGCGCGCCGGGCCGTCCGTGACCGAGGCGGGAGTCCGCCTGCGGGGTTCCTGAACTCCTGTTCCCTGAGCCCTACTTGTAGCCTGACTCCAGGGTCTGGTGAGTCTCCCTACGGACCCAAAGGAGAAGAGAGTTTGAGAGTGCACCTTTTCGCTATTTTTCTTGCCCATTTCTGCGACTCTGAATTTCCAGTGTTGTTATTTAGTAGTGGATAGCAACCCCGCCCGTTTCAAGCTTCTGAGATTTCCGCCCGCGTGAAACAACTGCAAATGAAGCAGCTGTTCGATTTGGGGGAACAGTAAAATAACTTCATTTTCGTTCAATAAATTCTGTTTCTCCCACATTATTTCCTCTAGCTTTTTTTAAAAAACAGGCTATAGCAGCCTGCACTTCTTTTGTCTTGGTATTTGTCATGCCTGTAATTAATTTTTAAATAACTGCCTCTCTTATCAGATTGTCAACTCGATAAGTGTATTTACCGTGCCAGACTTATTCACTGATGTGTCCCGTGCCCCATCATAGTGCCTGGTGCTCAGTGGCTTCTCGATAAATACTTGTTGAATTGAAGTCTAAGGCACAGGCAACATCAGCTGCTAAAAATTTTTGAGCATCTATTAGGTCTGGGGATAGAGAAGTAAACAAAGAAGGCAAGATTCCTGCTCTCATAGGGTTTATATATCTAGTGGGAGGCGTACCTACTCTAGACTAATGGACTGAGGTTATGAAGGCAGGTAACTATTTTGGGCAACTCTTACTGCAGCTATAGAGTTGGAATGGGAGAATACCTAGTTGTGTCCTTTTTTCTCTTTGGTTTCGAGCAGCTAAAGGAAAACATTGAGCAACTCTTCACCAAATTTGTGGATGAGGGGAAAGCCACTGTTCGTTTAAAGAAGCCTCCTGTGGATATCTGTCTAAGTAAGGTATGGTATTAGAAACATTAATGGTTAGGTTGCTTGGCTGTATTTTCTTTAAAGAAGACTGAGGGTCCTGATATCCCATATAGCTGAATAGGGACAGACTCTTGTAGCTATGTTTGAAGAGGAAAAGGCATAAAAGGAAGCTTCCCAGATATGCTTGCGTGCCTTCTAAAAGGGCAGATTCAGCCTTAGTAAGGATCCCGGGATGGGGAGGAAAATGGTTTGTTTCGGTGGTCAAAATGGAACATTAGGGTATTCTTAGACTGGAAATCTATAAGACAAGTAGCATAGGTCTACCATTTTGCCAGCAAAACCACAAGTTACAAGTTTAAGTTTGGTGTAAAAAAGGGGGAATAAAATGCAATTAGAACTGTCTTTTTTTGTATTTACTATAATAATTTTAAAAAATACATCAGGCCGGGCGTGGTGGCTCACGCCTGTAATCCTAGCACTCTGGGAGGCCGAGGCGGGCGGATTGCTCGAGGTTGGGAGTTCGAAACCATCCTGAGCGAGACCCCGTCTCTACTAAAAAAATAGAAAGAAATTAATTGACCAACTAAAAATATATATATACAAAAAATTAGCCGGGCGTGGTGGCGCATGCCTGTAGTCCCAGCTACTCGGGAGGCTGAGGCAGGAGGATCGCTTGAGCCCAGGAGTTTGAGGTTGCTGTGAGCTAGGCTGACGCCACGGCACTCACTCTAGCCAGGGCAACAAAAGTGAGACTCTGTCTCAAAAAAAAAAATACATCAACTATTAAAATTTTTTTTGAATATTTTGCTCTATCTCCCTTTCTCCCTTTTCTCTTCCCCCTTCCCAGAGTAGGAACAGTGCCTTTTTCATTCTTGCATTATCCTTAACCCCAAGCAAAATGCTGTGTGAATATTAAAAGTTGAAGAACAATTTAAGGAATTTGGATTGAGTGGAATCATTTTGTCCTACCTCTTCCATGTTCTCGTCATTTTGTTCTTATCCTTTAGCCTATCTTTCCACTAACTTCTTTCTATCTAAAAACAAGCTGAGGTCTCACTGACTTAAAAAAATAACAAAACAGACAAATTCAGCAGAGGCTGAATCCATTGCCTCTGCTTTCTTACGATCTTTTTGACCTTTACTTTTACTGGTTTTTTCAAAGATCAGTAATCTCCTTCCTATTTGCCTTTCACATTGTATGTATTTGTCATCCTTTTTGAACTCTAGAATTTGACACCAGTAACCACTCTTAATACTCTTTCCTGGCATCTATGATAGGGCACTATCCTGGTTTACCTTTAGTTTTCTCAGCCATTCCTTTATCTCCCATCTCTAGCAATGTTTTTTCTATCTCCAAATTGAAGGCTTTATTTCAATCCTCTGCCTGTTTTCTATGATACCTGCCTTCCATTCCCATAGCACAGCTGTTATTGTGGGTGACTCTCAAGTCTGTAAGCCACTGCTCTCTACCTACTGGACCCAAATCTTCCTCAGACTTTTCCTACTCCATTTCCTTGTGTACAGTGCTGCCAGAGTAATATTTAGCTCTTGTCATATAATTCTCAGTGCTCAAAATTCTTTAGTGGTTTCCCACAGCCTGATCATTCCCTCCACCTTACCTTGACACCCAAGCTCATTTACAGTCTGTCCTCAGATTATATTTCCAATCTTTGCTCCCACATTCCAACAAAACACCATCACATCCTTCCCCAGACTTGCTGAAGATTTACTTCTCCTTCATATGTAAACTTTGGGAAAATTCCAAAGTATTCTATAAGTATTTAATATTAGCTATTTTTATTGATGACTTAGTTCATTTGCCACTTTATCAGTGATTTCTCTATCTCACCAGCGGAGAGCAATCTCTCTTGCTTTTCTTTTTCTTTTCTTTTCTTTTCTTTTTTTTTTTTTTTTTTTTTTTTTTTTTTTTGAGAACTCTCCTCTCTCTTGCTTTTCATGTTTCCTAGCACCTTGTTGCTTTTGAGAGAGCCATCACTTTGCACAACTCTTAGTCTTTGTGAATGGCACCCTGGGCATTTTGCAGCACACAGCATGTGTGTCTTATCTCAGAGGCACTGGAAATTTGGGTCAGTTCATCTTATGCCCAATCTTAAGTGGAATCTTTAAAGCTTTCCTGTCTTACTGTATACTCTTATTGCCCTTGGAACTGTTTTACTTAGAATGTGTGTCTCAACATAATTTTTTTCAAGCACCTTTAAAGTTGAAATTTAGTAAAAAAAGTATTGAGACAGTGTCTCTACTGCCTGGGGTAGAGTGCAGTGGTGCCATCATAGCTCACTGCAACTTCAGACACCTGGGTTCAAGCAATCCTGCTTCAGCTTCCCAAGTAGCTGGGACTATAGGCATAAGCAAGCTACCACACCCAGCAAATTTTCTATTTTTTATAGAGATGAAGTATCACTATGTTGCTCAGACTGGTGAAAAATTTATTTTTTACAGCCAATTTCAATAAATGATTGTATCGCATTCATATATAACAACAGAGTTTGTTAGGGGAAGAACTAGCATGTATACATTATCTATTGAAATGGAATTTATAATGCTACAACTTATTTTTGTTTATTCAGGCCAATTCCAGCAGTTTAAAGGGTTTCCTTTCAGCTGTGAGATTGGTTCATAGAGGCTCTGATGTTGACGCACCGCTTTCAACGCTTACATCCGTGAAGCCTTCAGAATTTGAAAAGTTTAAAACTAAAATGGTTATCACATCCAAAAAGGACTATCCTCTAAGCAAGAACTTTCCTTATTCTCTGGAACATCTTCAGACTTCTTATTGTGGGCTTGTCCGAGTTGATATGCGCATGCTTTGCTTAAAAAACCTTAGGAAATTAGACTTGAGTCACAACCATATAAAAAAGCTTCCAGCTACAATTGGAGACCTCATACACCTTCAAGAACTTAACCTGAATGACAATCACTTGGAGTCATTTAGTGTAGCCTTGTGTCACTCTACACTCCAAAAGTCACTTCGGTGTTTGGATCTCAGCAAGAACAAAATCAAGGCACTCCCTGTGCAGTTCTGTCAGCTCCGAGAACTTACAGATATAAAACTTGACGATAATGAATTGATTCGACTTCCTTTCAAGATAGGACAACTAACTAACCTTCGTTTTTTGTCAGCAGCCCGAAATAAGCTTCCATTTTTGCCTAGTGAATTTAAACATTTATCCCTTGAATACTTAGATCTTTTTGGAAATCGTTTCGAACAACCAGAAGTTCTTCCAATTATAATGCTGCAAGTGCCATTAACTTTATTGGAATATTCTGCACGAACTGTATTAAATAGTAGGTAAGATTTTTAATAGTCATAAAAGGTACCTTTGACCCTAGTATTCTCATCAAACTCAAAGTAATAGTTAAAGTCTGATGTAGCTTACAATGCTATGCATAATCTGACCCCATGCTATATGGCCTTCTTGCTGTTTTTTGCCTCTGCTTAGAATGATTTTCCTCCAGGAAGTCTCATAGCTCACTCCTTGACTTTATTCAGTTCCCTGCCCAAGTGTCACCCAGAAAG